TCAGTAGAGTAGCGCTAATATTTCTAATATTAATCCAAAATCAGTTAAAATATATACCTCTTCGTACTCGTCTTTTCAGGTTTTATTTCTGTCTTCTTGTTGAGATCTTTCAATGAAGTACAGAGATATAGCTCCTTAGGTACAGATGCCACAGCAGGCATGATAATGTTGTTACTTATGTCCCTTCTAGGATGGTACAGCTTCTTAGAAGTGTCTATCAGTAGTTTTCTGGGGGGACAAAAAAGAAAAAAGGAAGTAGGGAGAGCCCAACTATATTCCAATGACTTTTATTACAGTTTGTTATCTGTAAGGGGTTATTACCTAATCGACCTCACCTAGTGAGCTAGCACTAGATGCAAACAGAGTTGCTAAATAGTTAACAGTATAAATTAACCCTCCAAAAGTGACAGAATTATCTGAAAACATTCTAGGTAATTTATCAAGAATGTTAGCAATATGTTGCTAAAAAAGAACAAGAAAATAATAAGAATATAAATTAGGACTTAATGTTCAAAATCACAATATCCATCAAATGTATTCCACTGGAACACCAGTAAGTATATTAGAAAAAAATTAGCTGATTTCTCTGTACTCTGAAATTTGTAATGGGTAATTATTTTATCACTAACTTAGCACAAACCCTACAAATTCACACTACACCCTTGAAAAGGTGACTTGTAATGTCTTGGTAAGAGACAAGCTGAAAAAAGCAAGTTAAAGTCAACTTTAAGCTTCCTGGACATGCTGTAGGCAAGTCTTAAACTTGTAGGTACTGTTGCCTTTCTGCTTTCATTTGGAAGTACTCTCCAGGTAGCCATGAAGTAGTTAAGCAGAGTTTGGCCAGGAGGGGCTATTACATCATTTTATCTCACATTCTGCATAGAGCAGTCCATTAAGTCTCATACAGATAGTCCAACTGAAATTCTTTTAATCTAATACAGCGTAACTTATTTTAGCCCATGGGGGTGGCAGGGGAGGAACTGAGCTCCCTCTCAAGTGGTGAGACATTAAGGTGCTATCAACTGAAGAAATTAGGGGAACTAATTAGAAGAAAGATGTTTAAATGATTCCAACAAATAAATTATTTCCTTGCAGTGAAAACCCACATGGCCTTTGACAAGATGAAGGTATAGGGCATTTCCCTTCCACCCTCAAGGTGGTGATCAGCATGACAAGCGTGACCAAAAAACCATCAGCCAGTGACCTCAGAGTGACATTTCACCCAACTGAATCGATCTGTAGCCGACTGCCACCAAATGAAGTGGTCCTGATTTCCCTCCCTCTTTCTCATGCTGGTCTGGTACTTGTCCAACCACTTATTGAGCCAATTCAGCTTGCTGAAAGAAAGGTTCCACAGCTTGTGCAAGGAGAACAGTCGTGTGTGCAACCGAGAATCAGAAGCTGAGATGGGAACGTGATCTCTTCCCATGGTACATAGCTGTTACAGTCTTTTAAGTATCACTGCATATAGTATCACTAGGGTTTGACTGTTCTGAGTCTTTGATATCTTTGATAACCAGTTCCAAGATGCAAGTTAACCCTACCTTTGATAAGTGCATCTTGGAAATAAATGCAAAAAATAAGATACATGTCCAATGATGATTCTTTGTTTTCAAGACTAGCATGACAAGGTCAAACTAAACAATATCTAGCTACATAACTTACTGCTTCAACACAGATGCTGTACTTGCTAATTTCCAAATACACAGCAACTTTTCAAAGTTGATAAACTTGTCAAAAACCCTTCCTTAGGAGAACTGATTTTCTAGATAATTCTAGAAAGTCATTAATAAAGTCCTCAAATACTAATTTTAATATTGAAAATTAAAAATATATCCACCCATCTTAAAACATTGTCTCCCCTATATATGACGTCTTATGTTCAACTTTAATTTTTAGGGAGATATTTGGGTGCTGAAAACAAGGGAAAAAATTCCTTAGAAGAACTGCGTTCAGTAGAAACAAAACACAGATACACTCCCTGCCCCCAGGTGAAGGACCTTTACAATCTGAAAGCCTTTTTGCCTGAAACAAAGATATATACTTTTTAAAACCTCATAGAGCTACAAAGAGAAGTTTCACTTTCTTTGTGAAATTGCTTTTCTAATCCTACCTTCGGAGCATGTCTTTACCTGGCTTTTTTCCCCCCCTTGGAACTGTAAATAGACTTTTTCTTTGAAGCTTTAAGTCCTTTCTAAATATATCTTCAATGTTTGCTTTGTTATGTAACCAGTATTTCCTTAATCTTAAGTGGCAGCATTTGGTTGCATTCTGACAGAATACTGTAACTAAATATGTGGTCCAAAAAAGAGATAACAATACTGTGTCTGCATATGAGGAAAAAAAAAATCAACGTTATGTGAAAGATGAACCATTTAATGGAAGGCAAAAGATGCTCATAAATTCTCAAGCGTTGCTGACACACCTTGATGTGGGCAGCTCCTCTGGAACCTCATCTACACACATGCAGAACTAGTAGATAAAAGGCAAATCTGAATTTTGGCCCAGAACAAAAACTGGCTTTGCATGTTTTCCTGCAATGGTTACTAAGGTATAACTGCAGGTCTTTAAACTGCCAGACAAGTTCAATGCTGAACTTTTATTTCCTGATCTGAGAAATTTCTATACCTTTTTTCAAAACATGAGCTACTAACCACAGTATCTGATGAATGAGGTACTGTACCATTATTCATAGAATGTGCTGCAGTAAAATGAGTAAGAATGGATTAGGAATAACTTTTTCAAATTTTTTTTTTTTAAAATCAAATTCTCAACAGCCTACTTGATGGAATTACAGCATATGTCATAAGTTGATAGGAGACTTCAGCTGCAGTTTCTAATTCGTTCTTCTATACAGAACCCTAACTATAGTACTATAACTAGCATTTCCAGTTCTATGCACAAAAAAAATCCCCTAACTGGGTTTTAGTCAGTAGTGGCCTACAGACTGACCACTAGTTGGCAGTTAACTGCTCAGTCTCAGCTCAATAAAGATCCCTAAAACTCCTTAAGCTTCTACTAAATTTTAAGATGCGCTTGTACCTTGATTTTTTCCTTATACTCAAATAAACAAGGTGGGTTTTTTCTTCTTTGGGAAGACTTATTTCAGAATCCAAATCAGATCTTCATATATAAATATAACCAGCTGATCTTGAACACCAGTTTTTCCAGATACCAATTCTTAACTGGCCTGGTCTCAGTGGAAGAATCCAGTAAAATAAGTTGCACAAAGATGTTCAGGAGTAGTTAATATACAGCAGTGAAATGCATGGAGATAGACCACCTACTGCAAGTTCTGTATCTCCTTCCACCAGAGCCGCAACAAACTGTGCTTTCTTATCAGAATCCCATCCATTTTTCAGGACAAACTTTTGCTGCTCCAGGCTGTATTGACTAAATTATGCTCACTTTCGCCAAACATTCCATTTCCTGTCACACTTACAATCACCATATCAATGCAATGGCAACTGAGGCCTCGATGAACCCTTCCAATTACATATGTGGATATTTCATACATCTCTAAGGAAGAGATATCTTCTTTCCCAGCAAGAAAAAGAACTAGATCATAAAACCATGAACACAAGGGACTGAAGATGTAATAGCACAATCCCTATCAGTCAACCCTGTGAAGGAGAAGAAACAACCTATTCCAGGTTTGTCGATATTTTCTTAAAAATTAAGATCAAACTCAAATGTGTGGATCTTTTCCATCCCCAGCTGAAATATTATCTTGGACTCCTTTTTCATACAAGTGCTGAAAATATCCCCAAAAACCCAGGAGAAATCATGCCTGGATATTTATGGGCACTTAAAATACTTAAAATGGATAGCTTTAGAGTGACAGGGAAACATACCTGTTGGTAACAGGTTTTTCAACATCTAATTATCATGCCTGTTTTACTAAGGATATGAGTAAGCTTTAAGTGGAATGACCATAGCAAGAACAATGCACAGAAGCAGTTATATTGAAAGCAGCATACATTAACAAACACAGTCTGAAATAACCTGACATGCTAAGTACTTTGCATCACCAATTCAGGTACGTAATAAAGTATTATTCATTTTTGTCTCTAAGACTTGAGCAAATGAGAAATGGGTTTCTTGTGCACGTTAAGTTCCTCAGTCCTCTTGGAATTAAGTTTTACTGTCAGTACTTTGTACTCAAGAATTGGTTTTGTTATCATTATCAGTATTAATCTAGAGTTAGAGTATTTTAACATGACTGAACTATACAGTCACCATATTTATCTCCGACCCCTCTAAGCTTCTTCAGGCTCTGGTACTGTTAATACTACAGGCCTCAGCACTGCAACTTACTGTGCATAGTATAGCCTGAGTATAACCACTGGGGCTTCTTATAGTAACACCGTTATGCTCGCACAGATACCCAAACTTTCATCATTGTGCTGGGCACCACCAGCCGGCATGGCAGCTACACGCTGGGTCTGTCTTTGGCCATGTTGAAACTACCTGCACTGCCAAGCTTGGGAACCACTCTTCTTGCACAGTGAGAAAATCTTTTCTGACAGCTTGCTCATCCAACAGTTTAACTGATACTGTGGGGAAGACCCTACAAAGTTAAACTGCTTTAAAAAAAAGTTGGATTTTATAGAGGAGGTTGGAAAGTTATTCAAAGTAAGAATATAAATAGCTTCGCTTCTTGTTTAGTTAAATTAAAACGTGCGAAGTGTATGCAAACAGTATCGGTGATAAGAAGCCGGGAAGGCGACAGAGAGGCTGAGAACTCCTCCAAGTTTGTAAGCGGGCAGTTAAAAGCCCTGCGGCGCCGGGTTCCGGGGGAAGTGGAATTATTTTTTACCAGCGAAGAGATCAACTTCCACATCCGGTAACAGGGCCCTATACAAAGGCGCAGACTGACCTGGAAAAGCTTGGCCGGCCCGAGGGGGTGAGGGAGAGACGGGGCGCGGGGATGGGGCCTTACCG